CATGGTCTCCCTGGCCTCCATCATCCCCCTCCCTAGATCTGGGAGACTGGTACGCAGCTCTCGATCTGAAAGATGCATACTTCCATATCCCCATCTTTGAGGGACACAGACACTTCCTTCGGTTCATGGTAGGTCCCAACCACTATCCATTCGCGGTCCTTCCGTTTGGCCTAGTGACAGCACTGTGGGTATTTACCAAGTGCCTGCCAATGGTGGCGGCTTACTTCAGACATTTGGATATCCAATCTACCTGCATCTTGACAACTGGCTTCTCAAGGGCAACTCCAGGTTCAAGGGGATGTTGCGGTGCTGTGGGCATGTGCCATCGCCGCGGCTGTTGGTGAACAACACAAAATCCACGTCCGTTCCGGTACAGAGGCTGCAGTTCATCAGAGCGGTGCTTGACTCAGCCTCCCCCAGAGCGTTCCTGCTGCTGGCGAGGTTCAGGGCATTAGCGGAACTCATTGCAGAAGTCTCTGCGTTTTCCCCTAACCACAGCCAGGGTTTGCCTGTGCCTCCTAGGTCATATGGCGGCATGCACGTATGCTGTGCGCCATGCCAGGCTCCGGATGCGACCCCTGCAGCAATGGTTGGCAACTGTCTACTCCCAGTCCAGGCGCCACCTGGAAAAGTCTGTCACCATTCTCGTAACGATACTCACCTCGCTCCCATGGTGGTCCGACCCCGGGAATGTCCTAGAAGGAGTCCCCTTCGACAGCACTCCCCACTCGGCCAAGTTGGTCTCGGGTGCCTTGTATCTTGGTTGGGGGGCACACCTTAGCGATCTCCAGACTCAGGGTACGTGGCCCCCCAGAAGAGATGACGTTACACATAAATGTCAAAGAGCTCAGGAAGATCCGCAGGGCGTGCGCAGTCTTCCTTCCTCACCTGTTGGGCAGAGTGGTCACAATCTTGAGACAACACAGCCTCGATGTTCTATATCAACACACGGGGGAAGCTTGAGCCACAGCCCTATGCCAAGAGGCACTCCATCTTTGGGACTTCTGCATCAACCACGGAATCCATCTAGAAGCGTGTCACCTCCCGGGAGTCAAGAACACGTTAGTGGATCACCTAAGCAGGGACTTCTCTCACCACGAGTGGGCGCTCCACTCAGAGGTAGCCTGCGCGATCTTCCAGAGATGGGGATCTCCCTCTCCGATGTCTTCCTCCTATCCTGGGTGGTAAGCCTGATGTACACGTTCCCTCCGATCCCGCTCGTCAGCGGCGTCCTGGCGAAAGTCAAGAGAGACAGGGCCCAAGTTATGATTGCTCCAGTGTGGCCGCGCCAACATTGGTTCGGCACACTGAGCTTGGCAGTGGTCTTCCTGTGGCCCCTGCTGGACCGACCAGACTTGCTGTCACAGAACCACAGTTGCCGCTTGCACCCTGACCTCGCGTCATAGAATATCACGGTTGGAAGGGACCTCAAGAGGTCATCTAGTCCAACCCCCTGCCCAAAGCAGGACCAATCCCCAACTAAATCATCCTAGCCAGGGCTTTGTCAAGCCTGACCTTAAAAACCTCTAAGGAAGGAGATTACACCACTTCCCTAGGTAACCCATTCCAGTGCTTCACCTCCCTCCTAGTGAAAAAGTTTTTTCCTAATATCCAACCTAAACCTCCCCCACTGCAACTTGAGACCATTACTCCTTGTTCTGTAATCTGCTACCACTGAGAACAGTCTAGATCCATCCTCTTTGGAACCCCCTTTAGGTAGTTGAAAGCAGCTATCAAATCCCCCCTCATTCTTCTCTTCTGCAGACTAAACAATCCCAGTTCCCTCAGCCTCTCCTCATAAGTCATGTGTTCCAGCCCCGAAATAATTTTTGTTGCCCTCCACTGGACTCTTTCCAATTTTTCCACATCCTTTTTGTAGTGTGGGGCCCAAAACTGGACACAGTACTCCAGATGAGGCCTCACCAATGTCAAATAGAGGGGAACGATCACATCCCTCAATCTGCTGGCAATGCTCCTACTTATACAGCCCAAAATGCTGTTAACCTTCTTGGCAACAAGGGCACACTGTCGACTCATATCCAGCTTCTCGTCCACTGTAACCCCTAGGTCCTGTTCTGCAGAACTGCTTCCTAGCCATTCGGTCCCTAGTCTGTAGCAGTGCCTGGGATTCTTCCGTCCTAAGTGCAGGACTCTGCACTTGTCCTTGTTGAACCTCATCAGATTTCTTTTGGCCCAATCCTCTAATTTGTCTAGGCCCATCTGTATCCTATCCCTACTCTCTAGCGTATCTACCACTCCTTCCAGTTTAGTGTCATCTGCAAATTTGCTGAGAGTGCAGTACACGCCATCCTCCAGATCATTAATGAAAATATTGAACAAAACCGACCCTTGGGGCACTCCGCTTGATACCAGCTGCCAACTAGACATGGAGCCATTGATCACCTGTTGAGCCCAACGATCTAGCCAGCTTTCTATCCACCTTATAGTCCATTAATCCAGCCCATACTTCTTTAACTTGCCGGCAAGTTGATGCTGCGTGGCTGAACCCTGAAGAATGGACCTGTTCGGAGGGGGTCCAGCAGGTCCTCCTGGGGAGTAGAAAACCCTCGACTAGACAGATCTACCCAGCAAAATGGATGAGGTTTTCCCACTGGGCGGCTGAACGGGGCATCTCTCCTTCGCATTCTTCAGTGCAGTCGATCTTAGGATACCTGCTTCATATGAGGAACCAGGGCCTGACACACTCCTCTATCAAAGTGCATCTGGCAGCCATTTCCGCCTTTCATCCACCTGTCCAGGGGCAGATGGTGTTCTCCCATTTCTCAGAGATCTCGAGAGACTTTTTCCTCAAGTTCGGTCCCCGGTCCCTCAGTGGGATCTCAGCTTGGTTCTGTCCAGCCTCACGGGCCCACCCTTTGGCCTTGTGCTCCCTGTCTCACCTATCATGGAAGATAGCTTTCCTGGTGACGTCGGCGCGGTGAGTTTCTGAGCTGCGTGCCCTGACCTCAAAACTGCCGTACATGGTCTTCTATAAAGACAAGGTCCAACTCCGGCCCCACCTGGCCTTCCTTCCCAAGGTGGTGTCTACTCTCCACATGTGCCAGGACATCTTCCTTCCGGACTTCTGCCCTAAGCCCCATGAGACTAGTGAAGAGAGGCGCCTCCATGCTTTGGACATAAGAAGGGCCCTGACTTTCTACCTAGATCGGACAAAGCCTTTCCGTAGGTTGACTCAGCTTTTCGTCTCTACAGTTGATAGGATGAAGGGTCTCTCAGTGTCCATGAAGAGGATTTCTAACTGGATTACCTCTTGCATAAGAAGAACAGGAGGACTTGTGGCACCTTAGA